ATACAATAGATATCTCTAAAAGCCAAATTAAAATATATATTAAATAACCTGTATTAAGTTTAATATTATAAAATCCCTTTAAAATCCCTATAAAATCCCCCCCTAGGCCAATCCCGCTTGATGGAAAAGCCATGTCTTGAGGGCACGGCGGAAGGAGGGGAGATCCGGAATAATCCGGATCTCTGGGGGGAGTTCGTTCGTTTATTATCCATCCTTTCCTAAATGGAGATTTTCCTTTCATTTTATTCTCACAATTTATTTATTTATTTATTTGGCATATGGCATATCACACATGGACTAGTAATATATATTAACATTTCGTCTAGGTTAGTAGAACACAATAAAACATAAATGTTAAAAAGATCTATGTTCAAATACCAATTATTAGGTCATCTAACCAATGAAGCGCAGAATTGTTTATACAAATTACCATTGAGTTTCCATGGTTGAGGATAGATTTCAGTTGGGGTATCCCAAGCCATATTCCATCATCTTAATTGCTACATCGTGCCAGCTCTTGTATTCAGAATGCAGTAATTTTTATACTATGTTTAGAGTTCACCAAATTAAAAAAAATCCATAGAAATGGAGTTAAACTCTAGCTGAATAAGCAGGTTGAGTGAAGGAGATGGATTATTGTCTGGAAATTGAATCATGACAACTGGAGTTATTTTCTTGTTGGTTTGAGTTGTTTTGCTGCCCATCCAAGCAGCTTCTTCAGTCTGAACAAGATGGTTAGAGGTAATCTGAGTAGGCAGAGAGTCGTTGGAATGTGCCATCTCCTAAAATTAAAACTTATTCAGACTGAAGAAGCTACTTGGATGAGCAGTGAAACCAACAAGAAAATAAGTCCAGTTGCCATGCTTCCACTTCCAGACAATTCTTTCTGGTTGACTGAGAATTTTCACTGATGACATGGAATATTGGTTTTTGGGAACTTTAAAACTTTGATTGAACAGCTTATAAGGGCATCCTTATAAACACAAATCTGTACACTACATAACAAGTCCAAGTTTCGTACCACAATATTACAATATTTTATTTATAGTTTCATACCACAGTGTTACAATATTTTATTTATAAATCATATTTATATGGCTGCCCAATTCACAAGAAGCAACTCTGGGTGGTATATAGCAATCAGTAAAACAGCAAATGTCATTGGGAAAAATATAAGGCATAATTACACATAAACAAAGAGCACTGAGCAAAGGGCAGGTAAGGCTCTAATTATAATCACCTGCCAAAAGACCTACAAAGCCCTGATTATGAGCCAAAGCATAGAGCAACATAAAAAGGCCTTTGGCAGCCTTGTTGTTTCTCATACCAGCATGGTAGATGTCAAGGAGAAATAAATCTGCCTGATATTCCCTTCTTTCAGTGGTGGGAAGCAAACTTTGCTGAACTTGTCAGCAACTTCCCAGCTACTCACGATAGCCTTTGTCAAACTTGGTCAATTTTTCAGTCGGAATGTTAAAAAAAAATCACAAAAATCTATATGTTCCTGACACATTCTCAATTGAAAACATAACCTTAGCAAAATATCTTTTAAAACATACATTTATTATGAAGCATGCATCTCTGTGAGCAAATTACCTGTATAAATGGAGGGAAAGGCAGGATAATTTTTTTAAAAAATGTTTCTTTTTGTGGAATGATGGGCATTGGAGAAAAGTTGGTTTGTCCCTTGAATCAGTGACCCAATGTAGAACCTATATGTGTACCATAAGATGTTGCTATGCTTTTGGACACCTGTAATTGTTCAGATGAAAAGAATTGCATTTAAATTCAAACATTCATACAGCTATATCAAGCCTTTTACTCAGCAGACCATTCCACACAACTCTTGTACTTTTTCTCCCAAATCTAATTTCCTAGAGTGCTTTCTCTTACCACCACCATCCATGTCACGTTTGTATTTTTCTGGATAGATATGTCATATATCCAAGCAAAATACTGCAGTTACCCATCAGTTCTATTTTTTACAAATGTCTGTGGAACTCACGTGATATCTGGAAACATTACTGGAAATAAAGATGTACAATATTTTGTTTCCTTTAAATAAAAAGAATTTGAATTAAGTTGAGTTAAGTTGAGTTGAACTTAACTGAATTTAATTGAATACTTTTATTTGGCCAAGTGTAATTAGACACACAAGGAATTTGTCTCCAGTACAGAAACTCTCAGTGTACATGCAAAGCAACAGAGTAATGATAACAATAATAATAATACCAGTAAAACAAACTTTTTTTATGAGACATAGAAGGAAACACCATAGGTACCACGTTGAGGATTAAAGTTATAAAGTGACTTAAGGATAGTGGGAAATGATAAGTTAAAACTTCTTTTGATGCATCACATGAAATAGTAAAATGTTGCTATGAATGTAAATTTAAAAAGTCAAAAAATTAAAAATCTTCTAACTTGAAATGGGAATATTGACAAAGATTTAAGTACTAGTCTTCATCAGTTACCGACAAAGCTCCTTTCTTTCTTTGGAACCAAAAGAATATAAGTCAATTTTTGGACACCCAAAGAGAAGTAGCACAGTCTGACAACTACTTGGCAGAATCAAAATCATGTCTTAATCTACTATTCCTAGATTTAGTTGTGAGATCAGTTCAGGTTCCTTTTTTCTCTGTTTTGCTGTTACTGCAGTATATTTACTAATATTTGCTTTCTTCAGCTTTGTTCTGTTTTTTGAGACATATGCCTAGAGTTTAAAATTCCAGTCAAAGTCTTCTGTTCTATTTTATCCATCAGTGTATTACCATTTTATTTTTAATTTGTTCCCTCCCTGTTGTTCCCATCTAGTAATTTTATCCCATGGTGAAGGTTGTAATGAACACACTGAGCTTCATTGCCTGCAGTTCAGTGTGCTAATTGTTCTCCACAGAATTAGAAATCAGGTGTTTCTCCACTCACTTTTGTCTCCATAAGTTATAGGGCTAGAAATACTGTATGAGAATTAATATCTGTTCCTTGTGAATGCTGTAGAAGATCCTATTCTGTACTGAATTTGTCTCCTCTAAAATGATTTTCTCCAGAATTATCTTATTGTCCTTGAATAGCCTTCATTAGTGAGTGAAAGACCTTGGGGTGGACCTCATTCCAGATAATAGTACAACTTATTTATTATTATTATTATTATTATTATTATTATTATTATTATTATTATTATTATTATTATTATTATAACAACAACAACAACAACAATAACAATAACAATAACAATAACAATAATAATAATAATAATAATAATAATAATAATAATAATAATAATAATAATAATAATAATAATAATAATAATAAAGTTGGAAGGGACCTTGGAGGTCATCTAGTCCAACCCCCTGCTCAGGCAGGAAACCCTATACCATTTCAGACAAATGGCTGTCTAGTCTCTTCTTAAAAACTTCCAGTGTTGGAGCATTCACCGC